TGTAAGTGTGTAAGTATGTAAGTATGTAAATATGTAAGTATGTAAGTAGGTAAGGTAAGCAAGTATGTATGTATTTACACATGTATCTTGATATGTACACATGTACTTGTGTACACAGATTCTTTTATGGAAATGGATATTGCACAAGGCTTTGTTTATGTAGGTTTGTGCATGTACATCTCCTGAAATTCTGCACGAGCTATCATGCACCTCTGCACAAGTATGTGCGTGCACGTGCGCGCACAAACACATACACACGCACACACACACACACACACACACACACACACACACCCCGCACACACACACACATGCACGCACTTGCATGTGCATATGCCTCTATGCGCATCTATGTGTTGTCATGTGAAAACGTGCGTAAATGGTTTCGCGTACATACATGCATATGTACACGCATACGTACTGGTTACATATATATATATACATACACACACATACCTTTACGTTTATATATATATATATATACACATTATATATATATATATATACATACACAGGTATATGTATGTAGGTAGGTAGGTAGGTAGGTAGGTAGGTAGGTAGGTAGGCAGGCAGGCAGGTAGGTAGGTAGGCAGGTAGGTAGGTGTATATCAATGCATATATATATATATATATGCCTACCTGACGGCCTGCGCGCTACCTGCCTACAGACATGGTGCAAACAGCAACCCTTACAAACACGTTTGAATTGAATAGTGTTTTGGCATCCAGACACACACACACACACACATTCGAGCGCGTCTACTCAGCTGTCTTCTTTTGTGGTTGTGATATTCTGCTACGTGTACTTCGCAAGGTTCGGAACGGCTTGTTCTTTGTAGTTGTGTTTGCTAGGTGCTTACGGACTCTACATGTGGGCTTTTGGAGATGTTTAGTTTTTTTCAGGAGCTTGTGGGATGTGTGCAGACATGAGACATCGTCTGCACGTGCATGTCTTCGCTGTTGAACCCAGGCATGGCAAACAACCAGGACGAGCAGAAGGACAAGGAGGACGGGAATTGCACGAAGATTTAGAAGTTTAGGGTTTAGGGTTTAGGGTTTCAGGTTTAGTTAGGGTTTAGGGTTTGTGTAGGGTTTAGGGGTTCAGGGTTTAGAAACACCCCCAAACCCGATTCTAATTATTCAGGCCTTCTATCAGGACTACAGTTGATCTTTCTGGCCCGGTAGCTCTTCGAGACACGCCTAGTCGCATCGGGCCCTTCTGGTGACCTACTGTTGGTGGACAACATCCTGCAATACCTCAAATACTCAAATACCCAAAACTTCCGGAGGTATTCAATGCTGTGGCTTACGCAGGGTTTTGTCCATCAGTGCAATTCTGTACCCGACCATCTTGCTCATCCTGCGAAGAGCTGCATCTCAAAGACGCCTGCAGGAGTACAAGACACTGTGGGGAGTCCGTGGCTGAGAGATGGTTAAGGGTGTTCGGAACTGTGAGGTCCAGGGTTTAGGGTTCAGGGGTTTCGGGTTTAGGGTTCAGGGTTTAGGTGTTAGGGTTCAGAGTTTAGGGTTTAGGGCTTTTTGGCGTGTGCTACTTGGAGGTTCATGGGTAGTTATAAGTAACCCTGAATGGGTTCCTTTAAGGGTTCCTTAAGAGGTTTAGGGTTTAGGGTCTACTTGGAGGTTCTTGGGTAGTTATAAGTGGAGTTATAAGTACCCCAATATAGGTCATACCTATACTTACCTTACATATAACCCGACTTTTATATTTTAACTACCTATGAAGCTCCAAGTAACCAGGATCCAGACAGAGGTATAGCCAAGCGAGCCGCAGCAAAACTCTGAGGAAACTGCAAAAGCCCTTTATCAAACCCGATACACACCCTAAACCCTAATCCCTAAGCCCTAAACCCGCAACCCTAAGCCCTAAGCCCTAAACCCGCAACCCTAAACCCTAAACCCTAAGCCCTAAAACCCTAAGCCCTAAAACCCTAAGCCCTAAACCCTCTACCTAAACCGAAGGCCCGGATCCTTTGGCCACCTGACATGCCGGATGACATGCTGGAGGATGCTGCAGGGGCCTCGTTGCTTTTGGGGCTCTTAGGGCTAATGAGGGTTTAGGGCTTAGGGTTTAGGGCTTAGGGGTTTAGGGTTTAGGGTTTAGGGTTTAGGGTTCAGGGTTTTCGGGTAGTTTAGGGCTTACGGTTTAGGGTATAGTGGCTCCAGAGTCTTGGGCTTAAGGAGTTGGGCCTACTCGGAGGTTCATGGGTAGTTATCAGTAGGGTTATATGTAGGGTAACTAATAGT